TTCATTTTTCTCTTCCTCTCTTCATACGTTGCTGCTTCAGTGTAACAATATGATTATGAGAGACGATGCAGTTGAAGGCTCTAGAAATTTCAACCACCTTGGATTTCATAACGAGCACCTAAATCTAAATACATGTGTCTCGAGCATTTCTGCCTCCACCGATAATGCGGCTGCTGCAGCCGGGATTTGCCACCGTGACCTGCATGTCAGCAGAGGAGAACCGTAACCCTTACACCACCATTGCGAGTTAAGTAAACACTTGCGGATGAAATATCTGCAAAGACTCTCAGTATCCCGGCAACCAAATATTAGTTTTTACCTCTTAAATTGTGTGAGTTTTTGATTATTGAAGCAACATTGATAGAAGCTCCATATTTCGGATATGCGATAACACGCATGTTGTGAGGGTGCCGACACTTTATGTAAAGTTGTTTGTGCCGTGTGGCGCACTTGTCTTGCACAGAAGCCGTATTTCGGGGTCACAACTATTGAGCGATAGGTTGCGTGTTCGCGAGCGTTGATCACCAGTATCATCATCATCATGGTTAGATTATTATTGCCGGCAATGACCCCTGGTGGCAAGCGTTGGTGGTGGTACAAGAGAGTTGAGCGAATCTTTTTGGCTGGTGGCGTTTGGCGCGAACGGTTGTCTCACAGTGGGAACCCGGTGCACGGCACCGCGGGCCGTCCGGGGGCCCTTGTGGTGAGTCAGGTGTTGACGACACATTGTTCAGTGTTGTTTAATATTGTGTAAGAATGTCTTTTATACTGTGTAAGGATAATAATTCGGTTGACGATATTGTCGTTATAAAATCGGTTAAATAATTATGTGTTGTTTGGTTTGTTCCTACCGCGTCCACTGTGTCGGTTCACTCCAAGAGCGTGGCGCACTCCCCCCATTTCGAGAATCTACTACATTTACGAAAGTACTACGCTTCACCTACATGTGCCCGCTTGAAAAATGTTGTGCATAGAACTATATACACTAGAATAAACACGGAAGAAAAAATTTATTCGTTATATTTTTTTGACGAAAGGTGAACCAGGCCAGATAAATGGCCTCTCAAATTAGAATAATAAAAAGCTTCGTTTAGTATCTGGTAAGGTCACCTCCAACATCGAGTGCGGCATTCATTCTTGCAGGCAGAGAGTTGTACGGAGCTTCCGTGAAGGATCAATCGCACTTAAGCTGCTCCCATTCTTCGTTTACTCTAGCGCAGAGGTCATCCGCAAATTTTCCGTGGAGACTTAATTCATTCTGCCCCCCTCATGTTCAGTTACGTTCTAGTCAGGAATTGACACACACACACACACACACACACACACACACACACACACACACACACGCACGCGCACGCACGCGCACGCGCGCACGCGCACGCACGCACGCACGCACGCGCACACACACACACAGTCACAGCACGCACGCAGCACACACACACACAGTCCACACACACAGTCACACACACACCAGTCACACACACACACAGTCACACACACACACAGTCACACACACACACAGTCACACACACACACAGTCACACACACACACAGTCACACACACACACAGTCACACACACACACAGTCACACACACACACAGTCACACACACACACAGTCACACACACACACAGTCACACACACACACAGTCACACACACACACAGTCACACACACACACAGTCACACACACACAGTCACACACACACACACCACAGTCACACACACACAGTCACACACACACAGTCACACACACACAGTCACACACACACGCGCACACACACACACAGTCACACACACACAGTCACACACACACACAGTCACACACACACACAGTCACACAGTCACTCCGTGCTGCTGTAGTAGTTGGTCCGCCTTTTTCACATTGTGAGCCGGCGAGCAATCGTGCTAGAAGATGCAGTCATGCTGTGGTGTCATGCGACTGGTGATGTGTGGAAGGCTGACTGTGTCCAGAATATTCTTATATTTTTTTGCTGTGAAGGCCCTTTGTATGCTTACAAGTGATCGAAGGACGTTCCGGGTGACGCAGCCCCAAGCGTTCACCACATTCCATCTGCTTGCTGCTACTCGCTGAACAAACTCGGGCCTGAACCTGCAGTAGTAACAGGCACGAACGAAAAAAAAAAAGCTGTTCATAGTTTTATAGTGCAGCACTCTTGTTTTTCAATGCCAATAATATTATAATGGAAGGGACTACAATACGCAACACCAAACATAGGATTATTGAAATAAATTGAACGTTTGATTCTCAACTGCAGAGACCTTCATATTTCTTGTGTAGGCATGCTTTACAACCCCCACGTATGGCTCACTGGACTATAAGTAGCATAGAAATCTTAAAAGAACTCCGATCACTGCATTTGAGTGAGATGCGCATCTTTTTTTCAAATTGGAAATGTTCTAATATGCAGTTTTCTTTACTATGACAATTGTAGCAAGGTTATGAAACTGGAGAAAACTTGAGATTATTCAAACATATCGAGTTCTACCTGGATGCCAGACACGAGCCCTCTGGTCCCATTTTGTAGTAAAGGTGCACCTGTCGCTGAAAACAACTCCGCTCCACTTGTCAGCTGACCATGCTTCGTGCTGCTGGGAAAATAAGATGCTTTGAATTGCTCACTTTCATCAAAAGCGGTTTTTGCACTGCCGTCTTCCACTTGAGTCCCGCTTCAGCCAGCCGTCGCTTCAGTTGATTTTGAAGCAGTCAGTTGAAAGCACTGGCATATTTCATTAACTGAACCTCGTGGGTTGTCAGTTACAGAGGCGACAATATACATATCTTCTTCCTGAGTAGCAACTCGTGACCTTGGTCGCTGAGGGGCATCCTTAATTCTATTTTTATTCCTGAAAGCCTGAATAATCCTGTTAACAGTCTTAGTGACCATGGCAGTGGCGGCACGTGGCCTGTATTCTTTAGTGTAGAGCTCGACTATGCAATGCCTTTCATCTTCAGGTACCCTGGCCATGCCACATCTAAGAGCTGGCACCGCCGAAAATTCTTTCAGCGAAGAATCGCACCCCAGCTGTTCAATTCTGTGAAAGCAATAATGAAGTCCATCACTTGTGTAACCTAGCGTCAATGCTCATGGAAATGTTAGCCGTAAGCGTTGTGCAAGCATTCAAACCTGCCAGCTGCTTTTGATAATGGACGAGAAAATTACTGCTTAATGCGACGAGCATAGCCAGCTTTTCCTTCCAATCAAGAAACATAGCACGTTGTCAGCGCTCGTCAAGCGCTTGGGCGGGGAAGTAGCAGATGACCCAGGGCACGAATCGCCCTTATGATTAAATTCATATGCTCTGCGTTTCCAAATCTCGCCAGCACATAATGGCCTGCGGATCGGCAGCCGTGCGCTCGCGTGTTCCCCTAACAGTGGACCGTACTGTAAATAGGGAGCAATTTCCATCGTAGCTGTGAAATCTGGAAGTGTTGCAGTTAGGTCAGTTTTAAAAAAGTAATTCCTTATTAAATGTTTTCAAAACAAACTTTGAGGTATTATAATATTAAATTTAGTTCTGATTGCTTTTTATCTCATTTACACCAGTATATGAAGTGGCAACACACTGAATTTTTCATAGCATGTAGTTACATGGATATGTTGCATTAAGCGGAACTTCTTATAGGCCTTGCCATCCTGGCCCATTTGTCTCCCATGAGGAGCCCTCCAAAAATCCCAACCAACAGAAGGTTCACAGCTTGCTATAAAAGATCGGAAAACGGTGCTTGCATCTGTTATGTGCTTATATAATGTGAGAATTCGGGTTGAAAATACTTTTAATCTTGTACATTAAATTTTCATATTGTAGAAAGTGGTTTATACTGATTTAATGTCATTATGAATGTTTTGTGTGCTAGATATTGAGTGTTACTGACTGTACCCATCTTAGTATGATTGTATCTGCTTTGCTTGGTGTCCTCATGTGACCATCTATCAAAGGTGACATTTGACTGCTGTTAACGCAACAGCATTAAATAGCTTGTTTCTCGGAAACTTCCGCATCGACGTCAGTGTAAGCGTCCTTTGGTTGTGAGCAAAAATCATCTTGTGCGTGATCGAAAAATCAAGATGCAAAAATAATATAAATAATAAAAAAATTTCTGGTGTAAGTGAGGATCGAACCCAGGCCATTCGCATTACAAGCAGGTGTTCTATCATTCAGCCACGTCTCTGCTTGAAAATGGAATGAAAAGAACTTCCTCTGCTTGGAAACGCAGTGTAAATAACTCCTGCTTTACAAACATGCACATTCTGTCTACAAGCTTCACAAATACAACATGTAATATCACAATAATATTACATGGCACAAGCATACATTGCCATCGGGTGTCGGAACGTGCGATTACCATAATGAGCTCGTGGTTTAAAGCCGGCCCCCTATTACAGAAGGCACACACGTCACTGCGCATATTCCCTTAAGACCACATAGAGGGTGCATAACAAGATTGAAAACATTTCACGCGCATAGGTTTAAAGCATGCAATCCATTACACAGAATGCAATCATATTTGAAAGCTTCACTGACACAAATCACTTTCAAATTTATTCATTACATTGTAGTAATCCACAATTTAAACTTGTTGAGTAACATTATACAATAAAAACTATGCACTAAGTGGTTGAAGTACGCACTACTTACAGGAAATGGCTGTTGCTTTCATCTCTTAAAGGCAAAGCTTAAGGGTCTCCCAATATTTTAGGTGCATTCTGAAGCATCTTGTTTTAGTATCGTAACTCTGCCTCTTTTAATTGCATTATCCACAGCAATCTCCTGTAAAGTGCTTTACTACCTGTAAAGTTTTATTGGCGTTGTAAACCTGTTTTTGTCTATTTTTACGTAACATGCAGCATTGTTTTTGCTGTTGATCGTAACAACAAATTGTTGTTTGCACTGTACAGAGTAGCTTTGTACATTCTGCTGCTACAGGGAGCTTTAAAGCAGTGTGGTTCACATCCATTTTCCCATTTAACATTGCAGAAGCTGAAAGTTCCAAATGGATTAAGCACTAGCATTGAAGGACGTGGTTGGTTTGTTTCTCCAGTAAGCTCAACACGACCATTCATTTGGTGGCACATTTTTGTGGCTGCACTTGGTGCTATACTGGTCTTCATACTCATGTTCCTCGAGATTGAAATCTGCGAGTAAGTTCTTGTTTTTGTTCTGCCATTTTTTTCTGTCAGTGCTTGTCAAATATTGTTCTGATGTACGCACAATTATACACACACACACACACACACACTTCATGTTCAGTGCCATCAACGTCTGCAACATTGTTACAAACTTCTCTGCACCCACATATACAACTGAATGACTCGACTGCATGCAATGAAACAAAAAATGATAGGGGATAACATTAAGAGATCAGAAGACAGCAGAATGGGTCAGAGAACAAACAGTGGTGACGAATACTCTTGTTCACATTAAAGGGACCCTGAAACAGCTTTGATGATAGTGTACACACACATCGAGTCAGTAAAGCATGTCCTAAGGACCATTAGCAAACCTATTCAAGCTCTCTGCATATAATGTGCAACTTAGTACAAGGCACTAAATCTATTAATTGCTACTGATTGCAGCGGCTCCGCCAAACGATTTTTTCAACCACTGACTTCCATTATATGCAACATGGAAGTGTAACGAAACACGAATGACTGACATGACTGAATGTAAAATCTATGTTACCGATAGTTATTTCAACCCAATTGTGAAAAAATGCTGTTTCTAATGGTTGAGATACTTTAGCATTTGTTTTGTTTACAAGAAGGTGTAATAGAAAGAAAATACGCAAGCAAAATTCGTCACCAGATTAGGAGACCTGCTGGTGGACAGCAAGTATTGTCTGCATATAATGTGCTCCGTGTTGAGGTCAGCTGCATGATAGTGTTCATCTCGAGGTTTCTTTTCTCAAGAGGCCATGAATTGCTCTAGTTGAATTGTGGGCTGCATATCTAGTGAGTTGTGAAATTTCAAACTGCAGCATTGTGTAAAGCAACCAGCAAGTGGAGTTGCTTCTGCTTATTGATGCAATGAACGTAAGACTTTCTTTGTCCGATCAACACCAGGATCCATTTTTATAAGGCTTTACCTTCACCACAATAGACAACTCCACATGTTTGTGTTTATGCTTTTCTGTGATCTCAGATAATTTTAGTTTGTCGGCATGTTTTTTGATGTTCATCGATTTACTGGAGCAGTGGTTCTCACATGGGGGTCCGCAGACTTTAGGGGGTCCGCGAAGGCATTTCTATGATCCGCGAAACCCTCACCCGTTTTTTTTACAATTTAAAATTTTTTACATATATAGCTCGGTTTAAACGCGACTGTGCCACATATAGATGAACTGCCCAAACTGAATTGGCACATTGGTTTGATGTTTTTGGTAGCAATAAAAGGCACCTGTTTCACCTTCCAGTTGTGTTAGTTTACCTACGTATCCCCCTCCTCCCTCCCCTTCAAGAGGTCACCCATCACTTCCACTAGTCCACTAGGGGTCCCCGACACATACGTGGCTGAGAACCACTGTACTGGAGAATAAGAAGTTAGCAGCTAAAAGAGTTGCAACTACCGGTGGTACAGATCTCAGCCATGCGCTTTCTTCTATATGGCTTTCACTATTCGCTTCGACAGCCTGTGTGCTGCCAGAGTTCATTGAAAGGCCAGAATGAGGAAAGCCCAGCTCAAACCATAGAGTGTGTTGCCGTCAATGACACTATGGCTTCACGCTCAATGAGTTACAAAGCAAAAGCACTGCTGAGAAGAGGGTAACATCTGAATGCCCGTAGCAGCCTTGATACAGATAATCTAATGGTTATGGCGCTCGACTGCTATGGCGCTCGACTGCTAGCCCAAAGGTCGCGGGATCAAATCTTGGCTGTGGTGGCAAAAATGTTGAGGCCCGTGTACTTAGATTCAGGTGCCTGTTGAAGAATTTGAGGTGGTGAAAACTTCCGGAGCCCTCCACTACGGGATCTCTCATAATTATATGGTGGTTTTTGTATGTTAAACTCCAGCTATTATCATTACACTGGCAGAACTACAAAAAACAATATCAGGAACACTTTAACTGAAAGGAATGGACTTAAGTTAACTACTTAAAGGGAAACAATTATTTTGTTTAAATTGACAAACTACACTCTGAAAACGTTGGCTAATGCCTTATGTTTCTCTATCATAAGTTTGTTATTAGCGGAGGGAATCAAGGTTTAGGTTTCATTTTTAAATTTCATTTCAAAGTTTCTACATGTGACACAGAAATTTTAAAATGTATTTTTCGTATTTTCGTGACATTGGCACCATGAACTTTTATCTATGGCCCCCACAGATGACAATGTACTACATTTTTATCGGTTAGAAGATAGGTAGGACCCAGTAGATGCCTTCAAAATTTATGACGTCAAGCTGTTTGGTGCAGGAATCTCAAATTGGTGCCTCCACCTCTATTTTTTTGTGTATTTTCTCACTTGCCAAATGTCGTGTCGCTTACCAAATGTCATTTACTAATGTGCGACAAATTGTTTTGCTCTTTAATGTCCCTTTAGTGCATGAGACATCCAAATGGTGGTCCGTCAAACGGTATAAATAGGGAAGAATCAGAAGTGCAGCAAAGATGGCAGAGGGTTACCGTATTTACTCGATTCTACCGCGCCCTCGATTGTAACGCGCACCCGATTTCCACCGCGAAAAAAAAAAAAAACGTAAGACATCGATTGCAACGCGCACCCATTTATTTTCGCTGGCCCGCTCGATCACACCACTCGAAAAAACGATTCCTTTCGGGATTGTCCTCCATCTAAATATGAGGTACGGGCGAAGCTTGTGCCCATCTGACGTGTAACAGAGCATTGCCGTCACTGTAGTTTTACCGTGGACCGATGTCAGCACGCGAACTTGCTTTGCCCCCTTCTTCTCGACAGTTGTGGTGCCAGGCATGTCGAAGTAAAGAGGCGTCTGATCGGCATTCCAGATTTGCCCAAGCAGGTAGCCGTTGTTGCGCCGCAAGTTTAGGACGAACCTCTGAAAACTGTAAAGCTTTTCATCGTACTTCTCCGCAAAAGTTTTCGCATATGCATGTTTCCCTTCGAAGGGAAGAGCCTTTCCTCTTCATATAGTTAATTAGCCAGCACCTGCTCGCTTTAAACTGGCTCCGCATTAGACTTTTTTCTAAGACTAATTGCATAGCCCGCACTTGGAGCAGTTCTGTCGTCACGGGCCGCTGTGCCGCTCGCTCCTCAAGCACATACTCGCGGAGCAGCTCTTTAATTTGCGGAAACCGACCCTGCTGTGGCTCACTGAAGCCTTTGCGTGAAGCTTTGCTGTCGACAATCTTCTGCTTTTGTTTCCGCCGGCCCCGCACGCACGTTTCGGGAACGACCGCGATGCGGCCCGACTTCCGTCTGTTTCTGCACACGCGATGACTTTTCTTTTAAAAGCGGCATCGTGGTGCACTTGAGTTTTTGGAGTCGGCCCTTTCACGTCGTCGATGCTAATGCACTACTAGATGACGAACTCCTCAGCACACGTACGAAGTGCCGCACATGGTAAACACATAGGCAGAAATAGCCGACGCACCATGCCGACGCACGTAGGGGGCGGCCATTTTGGATTTGCGATGGCAATAGATTGACCGTAATTTTTTGTTCGTACTCGATTCTAACGCGCATGCGATTTATGAACTCGCTTAACCGGAAAAAAGGTGCGCGTTAGATTCGAGTAATTACGGTACATGATGTGGTGAAATTAAGTTCGCAGGCATGAAATTTAATAGGCTCGCCCTGTACGATAAGGATCATTGGCCTTCGCCCCTCACTTGACATAAAATAGGCCGAGAATGATGATAACGACTTCTGGCATTGTCCTGGTGCACTGCCTGAACTAGCTTCTACTTGCATTACATCAGCATAAGCGAGACACCTGATGGCTGCCAGGGTGCTGCCTCCGCTATGCAACCGCAGTTGTCTTATGTGCTGCATAGTGCTAATCCTTTATCCTTGCATATTATTCGATCTCTATCTAAGGAGCTTCTGTGTTATGCCCATCAAGCTATTGCTGTCAATGTTTCACCCTTTGGGCCTATAACTGATACTTTTAGGTGTATAAAATGCTGTGCATATCATGATAAATCTATGCAATACCCCATCCAGTGGTCTAAAAATGCAATTTTTTTTATTTTTAAAATTGAGTGTGCTTTGGTCTACTTTTTATTTCGTGCATTTGACATGCCATTATTTTGAAAGGGAAATAGACACTGGGAACAGAAAGGGGAACTGTTATTCTCGTATTCCTTTTTTGTATCGAGTAGCATTTTCATTCTATTAGGGTAATTTCAACTTGTTTGTACAGTGGTTATAATGCTCAGCTGCTGACCTGAAAGTTATGGGTTCAATCCTGGCTATGGCAGTCGCATTTCAATGGAGGCGAAATACTAGAGGTCCGTGACTGTGCTGTTAGAGTAAATTGAACACCAGATGGGCAAAATTTCCGGAGTCCTCCTCTACAGCGGGCTTCATAATCGTATTGTGGATTTGGTGCGTGAAACTCTATATATGTATAGTATTATTAGGGCACCCATCTTGGATGCTTGTTTGGTTTTCAAATTGTTCATTTTATTGTTATCCTCATGCCTCTAAGGAACACTTTTGAATGAAAAATTTTTTTAGAGTTTAAAGGCCAGAAGTGCATCTCATGAAATCGTTCAATGTTAGGGTTCTTAGGAACTTTCTTCCCAGGACACAAATAAAGTTTATCTGTCTGTCTGTCGTTCAATGTTAGTTTCAATGGGTGTCCCATTAAAACCACCCCGATATCAAATTCCAATTTCATTTCATTTCATTTTATTATACTCCCTCTGGGCCAGAGGCATTACAGAGGGGGAGTGATAAGAACACTTTGACAGACACAAAAAGCTAGAAATAACAATAAAACAACAAAACAAGAAAAAGAAAACGCTCATGAAACAAGGGAGCAAAATGTGAACTTGCGCTGAGTTTAGGAAGAGCCCGAGTGTACAATGTTCGCTGCGGAATTGCGGAACTGTTCATGATGAATAATGTTCACAATGTCCACAGGAAGGCTATTCCACTGCCGAGAGGTTCGTGGTAGGATTGAACGATGAAAGTGTGCAGTATTACATGAGGCGAGTCTGACTTTACGACGATGGTCTGTGCGATGGGATACCTAAGATGGCTCAGGGATGAGGTGATTGCATAGTGCAGGATGATGATACGTTTTATGAAACAAGACAATGCGTGACACTTTTTTGCACAATGGCAATGACAGGAGGCAAAGGCCTGATTTCAAGGAACTTATACTGGTGGTGCAGCTGTAATTAGTGAATGAAAAGTGCCGAGTTATTCTGAACCATTTCTAGAGAAGAAATTCAGTTTGCCTGGGTGGGATCTCAGACCGATGTAGCATACTCCAATTTTGATCGAATTAGTATTTAATAAAGAAGTTTCAAGGCAGGAGGAACAGGGTAATACTTTTGACAAAGGTAACCTAAGATGCAATTAGCTTTGTTAATTAAGAGCTAGATATGAGGAGAGCAGTTCAGGTTTGCTGTGATGTTCATGCTGAGGTATTTATATAAAGTCAGTGATTATAAATTAATGTTATCAATGTAGTGTGGTGGTGGGCGGGAAGATTTTCTAGAAACGCGCATGACTTTATGTTTAATAATATTTAGCAGCATTATAGGTGTCTAACACGTGAGCTCATCACTTACCCTTGCTTTGGTTCAGGCTGATCCTGAGCAAGAAGGAGCGCAAGCTGAAAAAGGGCTCTGGCTTCCATCTGGACCTCCTGCTCATCTGTTACATGGAGCTGGGTTGTGCCATTATTGGTGCTCCGTGGATGTGTGCAGCCACAGTGCGCTCTGTGTCCCACCTTGCTTCCCTGACTGTCATGAGCCGCACTCATGCTCCTGGCGAGTCGCCACACATTATTGGTGTCAAGGAGCAGCGTGTTACCAGCCTTCTAGTGTCACTTCTAGTTGGTGGGTGCTACTTCACTGAATTTTCTTATTTCCTTTTATCATTCCGGCTTGCAGTTGCTTTGTTCTCTTTGACGGCACGCGTAAGTGTATGACTTTTATACTAAATATTACGCAGGCTATTTACCCTTTTGGTTTACTCGCGACTCTAGAAGGGATTATTGTAAATGTTCCACTTGTTTTTGCTAAAATTGAAAAAAAAATCAAAGGGACACTCTCTTATTAATGATGTGTTCAGCTGATTCTGCAAGAATTTGGAGCAGGGAAATCGGGCATTGTCTATTTAGATCATTACCCATCTGCCATTATAGAGTAGTACAACTTGTGACATTTTCTTAGAATCTGGAAAAATACTAGTTGATAGCATGATTTTGGGGATATCAATCAATGGTTTGATAATGAATGCTGCAGTCACTTTAATTGTTAAATATTAGTATCATCCTAACCGTATTTAATGTCAAATGTTGTCATGAATGCATAGTACCATGAAATCACAAGCAAGCGGTCCTACCTGAACAAGTGCCCCCCTCCCTTTATTTTCACTGTTTCATTCACTGTTTTTATGACAATGAATTTATGTGTATTCAATAATGCATTTCATTAAAAGAACGGGTGTGCTTACCTTTTTCTTAATGAGAACTGACAGACAATGATGTCGAAGAAAGCATAGCGGATGTTATTAAAAGTAATTATAATGCAAATATTGTCACCAATCTTGTCTCACTCAAGGAAACCTTCCGCAGAACTGCTCGTCAAGCTAGGACAAAAAGAAAAACTGCTCCAACCCAACCTCTTCGTCCTCTTCCACACGAAAACCACGCGAATTCATGCGGCATTAAAAAGCGGCTCAATCCCAACCTCTTCGTCCTCTTCCACACGAAAACCACGCGAATTCATGCGGCATTAGTCCCCCCTTTTAAAAAGCATCGACTCGATGCTTCTAAATAAAAAGAAGAAGAAAAAAAAAAAAAAAAACCCATAATTAGAACACGCGTTGACGCAGAGAATGACAAAGTGAGTGCCAGGGAAAACAAAGAGGGCGCACAAGCACTTGGACCATGCGCGAACACAACAGCACCAGTGGAAGAGTCAAGAAAAAAAAAACACCACATGAGATCACTGTCACGTTTGCGAAGTAACTCGCAAGCACAGAGACTATTGTGTGTAGTACGGCTTGAGTCGTACGACATGCACAGTTTCGGGCCGATGTTGTCGACGTGACGACACTGTGCCGTCCGGAAGTACTTCGTATGTAAGGTCACTCACACGTCGGATAACCTTGTATGGTCCGAAATAACGGCTCAGAAGCTTTTCAGACAAGCCTGGTCGTCGGACAGGAGTCCACACCCACACTCGTTCACCCGGGTGGTATGCGACGTTTCGACGGCGAAGGTTGTAACGTCGTGCATCTGCGTCTTGTTGGTGACCGATGTTCACGCGAGCCAGTTGACGAGCCTCTTCGGCGTACTGCGTGTATTGCTCGGCTTCTGGAGAAAGAGCATCGCTATTATCGTACGGCAGCATAGCGTCAAGCATCGTTTGTACGTTGCGTCCATAAACAAGGTGGAAAGGTGAAAATCGGGTTGTTTCCTGCATTGCCGTATTGTATGCGAACGTGACGTATGGGAGGATATCGTCCCTGGTTTTGTGCTGCACGTCCACGTACATTGACAGCATGTCCGCTATGGTCTTGTTGAGCCTTTCCGTCAGTCCATTACTTTGTGGGTGGTAAGCCGTTGTTTTTCGGTGACTCGTGCAGCTCAGTCTGAAAATGTCCTCTAGCATTTGTGCCGTAAACGATGTTCCTCTATCCGTAATCACACATGACGGCGCGCCGTGCCGGAGGACGATGTGCTGCACGAAGAACTTCGCCACTTCAGACGCCGTGCCGCGGGGTAATGCCTTTGTCTCAGCATACCGGGTCAAGTAATCGGTTGCCACTATAATCCATTTGTTACCAGTGGCCGACAAAGGGAAGGGTCCTAGAAGGTCCATTCCCACGAGGTCGAAAGGTGTCCGTGGTGGTGTAATAGGGTGGAGAAGGCCCGCAGGTTTCACGGGTGGCGTCTTGCGACGCTGGCACTCGCGGCAGCCTTGCACGTAGCGGTGTACACTGGTCGAAAGTCGTGGCCAATAGTACTGCTGGCGCACTCTGGCGAGAGTCCGCGAGTAGCCCAAGTGTCCCGACGTGGGCTCGTCATGGCACGCGAGGAGGATGTCATCCCGCATGTCGGCTGGTAAAACGAGGAGGAAGGCTTTGTTGCTACCTCGAGCATTTTTCTTGTAAAGAATGCCCCTCCTTAGACAAAAGGATGACAATTCGCGAGCGATGCGCCGAGGAGTGTGAGAATTTCGGCCTTCTAAGGAATCAATAATAGGGCGCAATTCCTGATCGGCTCTCTGTCTAGACATAAAGTCAGAATCACTGAGGGCTCCGAGAAAACCATCAGCATATTCCGAGTCCATATCAGGATGTCCCACGGGTGCTCGAGAAAGTGCGTCGGCATCTTCGTGCTTGCGCCCAGACCTATACACAATCATGATGTCAAACTCTTGCAAGCGCAAACTCCACCGAGCGAGACGACCAGACGGGTCACGGAGATTGGCCAGCCAACACAGCGAATGGTGATCGGTCACCACCTTGAAGGGACGGCCGTAGAGGTAAGGTCGAAACTTTGCCGTTGCCCACACGACTGCGAGGCATTCCTTCTCTGAAGTGGAGTAGTTGGCCTCGGCTCGAGAGAGAGTACGACTGGCGTAAGCTATGACATGTTCTACGCCGTTGTGCCGTTGTACAAGGACAGCGCCAAGTCCGACGTTGCTTGCATCCGTGTGAACTTCGGTATCAGCGTCCTCATCAAAATGCGCAAGAACAGGTGCCTCTTGCATTCGCTGCCGTAACTCTGTGAAAGCTGCTTCTTGCTCTGTAGTCCAGGCAAACGGTACATCATCTCGGGTGAGTCGCGTGAGCGGTTCGGCTATCGTCGAGAAGTTGGTAATGAATCGGCGATAATAAGCACACAAGCCGAGAAAACGCCGTACCGCTTTTTTGTCTGACGGCACAGGAAAGGTGGCGACTGCTGCAGTTTTTTCTGGGTCAGGCCGCACTCCATCCGCACTCACAACATGTCCCAGAAATTTCAGCTCATCGTAGCCGAAATGGCACTTCTGGGGTTTTAGCGTGAGTTCGGCCGAACGAATAGCTTCCAGAACCATTCTTAGACGCTTCAGATGTTCTTCGAAACTCTCGGCAAAGATGACCACATCATCAAGGTATACAAGGCAGCTTTGCCACTTCAAGCCAGCGAGGACGGTATCCATCATTCGCTGGAATGTTGCGGGAGCTGAACAGAGGCCGAAAGGAAGAACTCTGAATTCATAAAGCCCATCGGGAGTTACAAACGCTGTCTTCTCTCTGTCTCGCTCATCGACCTCTATCTGCCAATAGCCGCTCTTCAAATCTATCGATGAAAAATACTTCGCGTGTCGTAGCCTGTCGAGAGAATCATCAACCCGTGGAAGCGGGTAGACGTCTTTTTTGGTGACGCTATTGAGTTTCCTGTAGTCAACACAGAATCGCAGCGTTCCGTCTTTCTTCTTTACTAGAACGACTGGCGAGGACCACGGGCTGCTCGACGGTTGTATCACCCCGTCGTCAAGCATCTCCTTTACCTGCGTCTGTATAGTCTCGCGTTCTTTAGCCGAAACACGGTAAGGTTGCTGGCGGATTGGGCGAACATCATCGTCGGTAATAATTCGGTGCTTTATGAGGGGTGTTTGACCGACTCTAGATGAAGAGGCGAAGCAAGATTTAAATTCCTTCAGCAGGGTATGCAGTGCGGCCTTCTTCTCGTCCGAAAGCTTCGAACTGACGTCGATGTGGTCCAGAAACTTATCTCCATCAACCATTTCCTCGGATGCGAAGCACTCGGTGACATCCGCTACACGGTCTCCGAAGGCCACGGTGGTGCCGCGGAAAAGATGTCGGTGCTCGAAGTTAAAATTTGTGACGAGTATCTGCGACCGTCCGTCACGCACACGCAGAATGCTTCGCACTGCACACACACCTTGAAGCAGTAAAAGGGATACGTTGCTCTCGGCGACCACGTCACCGTCTTGGAGGTCTTCACAGGTGACTTCTACGAAAGCAGTCGCTCGGGGAGGCAACGTCACGCTTTCGTCGGCAACACGCAGCGCAGGTCTACGACAGCTATCAGCGCCTCGATCGGTTGCAAGTTGCGTCGAGAAAGTCACCATTCGCTCGCGGAGATTTATGATCGCGCCATTCTCTCGAAGGAAGTCCATTCCAAGGATGAGCTGACGAGAACAGTCGCGTAGTACGAGGCAGGTTACCACAAACGTTGACTCGCGTATTTCCACTCTTGCGGTACAGCGACCCAATGGAGTAATAACGTGGCCTCCAGCAGTGCGAATACGCGTCCCATTCCAAGGTGTCATCACTTTCTTAAGACTGGTTGCCAATTTTCCGCTCATAATAGAATAATCTGCACCTGTGTCCACCAATGCGCTGACCTGAAGACCGTCTATCAGCACGGGAATGTCGAGTGAGACTCGGCCACTGGGTTCAGACGCACAATCCGGCATTTCTCTCGCACTGCACTCAGACGTCAATTCAATGTCTGCAGCGTTTTGTGGAAGCGTCGATAGGAGGTCTTCCGCACTTTTAGTCCCAGCGACCTCGCCCCCGAAGGTCGCTGCCTTCAGTTTTCCCGACGAGGGCTTGGGGAACGTCCCCGTGCCATCGTACTGAGACGTGGTCCAATAGCTGCGGGTCGTCGTGGAGATGGAGACCGCGATTGACGCCGTGGGAAAGGCAGACGTTGCTGCGCGAGGTAGTCCTCAATTTCTCTTGGCCTCTGACCAACTAGGGGACGAGGCGAATGAATAGAGAAACCGCGCAGTCCAAGTTGTCGGTATGGACATTCCCGGTAGATGTGACCGGCTTCACCGCAATGGAAGCAGAGGGGTCTTCTATCCGACGT